GGGCCGCACAAAGGCGCCGGCCCATTAGCGCACGCTAAATTGCCTGTGAATTGGCGCGGGCACAATGGGCGCTCCCCGAGGAGCAGGTGGGCCGCGCGGCACAATGTCCGGGCTGTGGGAACGCGCTCGCCCTCATTAGCATCCCGGGGCCTGATGCTGGGAGCCCCGCGCCTCAATATGCTGCCTTTTCCCAGGCCTCGGGGAGGAGGAGGGGGCAGGAAGGAGCGGCCTCCTCCCTCCCGTGTCCTCCCCTTCCCTGGCCACTTTCTACTGCTGGCTGGCAAAGGCCACAGGCGCAGATAGGGGAAAGCTTTAGAATTAACAAGAGCAATGGCTTTCAGGGATGGGCACCCTCCCTGATGGGGACCTGTTGCCTATGCAGAAGGGAGACAGAGGGGACCACACTCTCCTGGACAGGTGCTTCTGCCACCCTGTCCACAGGCCTAGGGTAAGAGCCAGGCCCATGCTCTTAGGCTCAATCCTTCTGGCCTCTGTTGCCAGCCCCCAGTCTGTCACCTGGGCTTAGAACTTTCCCAGAGCTGGAGTTGGTGGTTACATCTCCCCTGCCGACTTTGGGCAGCTTCAGGTGGGCCAGGGTTTGTGCATACAGCCTGGCACAGGCGGCCCCCAGAAAGTGGTATTTGGGCTGCTGTGGAGCCAGCAGGTGCTCCTCAGGGTCCTCTCCCACCCTGGAGGAGTGGTAGGAGTCAGTTGCAGAACCCTGGAGCTCAGGAGGGCGCATGGCCCCCACCATCTCCAGGAAGTCGCCGTTCTGCATGGTTTGTGGGAAGTCCTGTCTGCATTGGCTCTCTGCACAGCGGGGGCACGAGGATGGGCTTTCCTCAGGCGTTTTGCCAGTGGGCAGGTTGGGGGTGCCAGGTGGCAGACAAGAAGATCAGCCGAGCTCCCTGGATCCCCTTAGGATACGCTGGTAACCCTGGTACCTGGCCAGTTGCAGTGGCAGCTTTGGGACAACTAATCACAGCCTGGACCCTGCTAGAGGAAGGACACCTGGGAGCACCACCCCTTCCTGCATCAGTTACTGTCCCCTGATTCTTGGTAGCCAGGAGGAGTCCCATTGTCCTGCAGGAACTGAGGGAGGGGTTGGAGCCTGGGCCTTCTCCTAGAGGCAGATTGGGACCCAAAGCAGCCCGAGCAGGAGGCAGAGCCCAGCCCTGGGGGCCAGGGGTCTGTGTCAGGACACTCGGGCAGAGTTTAATCCAGGAGCTGGGTTCCCTGGATGGATGGCAGCCACATCCGAGTGTGGCTGGGAACTGCAGGCCTTAACGAGGGTCTAGTCACAACCCTCCTCTGCCCTGTCTTGGCAGTGACCTGCACTACATGGCCTGCCCGGTGGGCTCCAGTAGTCCCTCAGCCTGAGGACCATGTGGTTGCTACACACGGTCCAGTTCCAGGGTAGCAGAGGAAGGGTTGGCTTCCGGCCGGTGCTGGTGGCCTTCCCACGGGCCAGCTAGTCACCCATCAAGACTCACCTTCCCCCAGACTTCCCATTACACACCTCCCCCCCAAGCAGGTAGGGCCCTCCCATGACACTCTGGCCCTTGTTTGAAGTGAAAAAGCAAAGGGCACCTGGCGAGCCGAGGACGGGGTATCATGGCCACATGACCGTGCTTTGGCTTCTGCAGTCCAAGCCCTGTTAGCAACTGGCATTGGGGGGTGGCCAGGTGGGTCCCACAGGCTTCAAGGGGAACCCAGTGAGGCTCAGTGGGGCCATTTTGGCAACTAAAATGGAATTCAGGTTAGGTGGCAGCCACATTTGGCATGTCCTGGGGCTCCCTAGGGTGGGCTGGGAAGAGGGAGGGCAGGAGGACTTAGTCCCCTGTGCACCTGTCACCTATGTCCTGCTAGCGCAGGGCCCAGCACCGAGGAGGTGCTCAAACAAGGGCCGAGGGCTTCAGAAACAGTGGAGCAGGGTGAGCCTGGAGCCCAGCCTGCCCTGGCCTGGGCATCCACCCGCTGGAAGTGGGGTGGACCCACCGCCTGGCTGCTGCCTGCAGGGACCCGGGCTGTGGCCGGGATGGGGGAGCGGGGGCATGCAGGCTTGCTCCCCAGGCTGGAGGGCCTGTTGGCCGGGGCTCTGCTTCCCTCCTTGAGCTTGCTCCTGTGCCCAAATGAGACGCGTGCCAGGAGATGTGGTCCAGCCCCCACCCCACCCCAACTGCCCGCCCACCCGCTGTGGGCCAGGACAGCGGCCTGCCGGAGGTGAGGGTGGTGGGTGGGCCCGGGTGGGGGCTGCCTCTTCTCCCCTCCTCCTCCCTCCGCTGGACTGGAGCGGCTTTGATCCTATTTTCAGCTGTGGGAAATATGAAATGAATGGTGTCAAGTCCCAGCCGGATGAAAGGCGGGTTCCCTCCCCGAGTGCGGGCCAGATGGCAGCTCGGGCGGCCTCCGAGGCACACGCCTGGCCTTTGTGGGCCGTTTAACACTGTGAATGGGGCCAAAGTGTGGGAAACTGGCTGGGCTCCTGGCTCACACCATCCATGTGAGTAGCTGGGGAGGGGGAGGGCCAGGGCTGCTCCAGGCTGGCGGGCTTTGCCCTGCAGAGCACTGGGTGGGGTGGAGGGCGTTGGGTCCTCTGCTTCATCTGCTCCCAGCAGCTCTGGATGGGAGGTACTTTGAGGAGGGAGGGAGGGAGGGAGGGAGTTTGTCCTGCCTGCAACTTCCAGAACCCCCACCCTGGAAAACTCAATAAATTTGAGGGGTTCAGTAGCTGGGGTGGGTCAGGCTGTCTGGAGTTGATGCCCCTCTCACTTAGGGGTGCACTTTACTGTGGACATACCTGGGACCTCCTGGCAAGACCTACTAGTCCAGCACAGGCATGCTTGCATCCACATTGAGGACCCAAGCCACCTTGCACAACCCACAAGACAACACCACCCTTTTCCCAGGCTGACTGGGGAGGTGGGGGGAGAGACCCTAGAAAGGCACCCAGAGGCTCTGGAGACCAGGGGAGGACTTCTTGTTGGTGGGAATGTGAAATCATGTAATGCTGTGATAGACAGTGTGGAGTCTCCTCAAAAAATTACACATAGAATTACCAAATAAAGGATGGGGATATGGCTCAGTTGGTAGAGTGCTTGCCTTGCATGCACAAGGCCCTGGGTTCAATCCCAGCACCACATTACCATGTAATCCAGAACTTGTATTTCTGGTTCTGTACCCCAAAGAATTGAAAGCAGGAGCTCAAAAAGATATCTTTACACCCATGTTCATAGCAGCATTGTTTGCCAAAGCCAGGAGATAAAACAATACAAGTTTCACTGGTGAGTGAACAGATAAAGAAAATGTATTATAGCCATACAGTGGAACATTACACAACCATTAAAAAGAAGGAAACTCTGACACCTGCTGCAACATGGTTGGACTTTGAGGACACTCTCCTCAGTGTCCTGTATGATTCCATTTGTGGGAAAGACCTAGAGTTACCAAATTGACAGAAAGTAGAATGGCGGCTGGAGGACTAGAGGGAGATGGGGAGCCAGTGTTTAATGGGGACCGTTTCCACTTGGAAAGATGAAAATGGACATTGGTGAGGGTTGCGATACATCGCGAGTGTTTTTACAGTGCAGAGCAGCACTTAAACCAGGCACGGAGGTGCACAACTGTCATCCCAGCAACTGGGCAGGCTGATCGGAGGATCACAAGTTCAAGGCTAGCCTCAACAGCTTAGTGAGACCCTGTCTTAAAAAAAAAGAGGGGGCGGGTTCAATGGTTGAATGCCTTGGGTTCAATTCCCAGTACTAAAAAAGAAAATGAGAAAGAAAAAGAAAGCAACAAAAAAAGATGGGAAAAAGAAAAAGATTGATAGGTTTTATGTTGTGTGTATTTTGCCACAATCAGAAAAAGGAGTCAATTTACTTTTATTTGAAGAGCCACCAACTCCCTCCTGCAGCACAGGACCCTGCAGACAGTGCAGTGCTGGTCTGGAAGAGACCCTGCCACACCCAGCCTGCCTTCTGCTCGGAGGTACACGGCCCTGCCCCGGCAGCCTGGAGTGTGGTTCTCAGGGACTCGGCGCAGTGTGTGGAGTAGGTGGGGCTACTGGACCGTGGAAGTGCTGCCCTCCCTGGCCTCTGCTCCTGGACCCCTGCTCCTGGTTCCCAGTGGGGAAGGTGAGGAGCAGGCAGACCTAGGAGGGTCAGAAACCAGGCTCCAGGCTTCTCTCCTCTGACCCCACAAACCCGAGCTTGGGGACAGTAGGTAGAAACTACCTGAAAGGGGCGGAAAGCCAAGTTCCTGGGGGGGGGGAGGCAGGGAAATGGCTCTTCTCCAGATTGTGGGGACAGTGTCCCCCATGTACAGGGCCACTCCACGGTAGAGTTGTTCTGTGCTGTGTGCCCTGCCTGGGCTCTTTGTCAGCACCCAGCGGCTTGCAGCAGGCCAGGCCGGAGGCGTGGGCCCTTCCCCAGGTGGACTAGTATCAGTCACCCATCCCCAGTGACAAAGGACAGAGGAGGCAGGAGGCATGTGGTAGTTGTGTGCTGAGTCTGCCTGGGCCTAGGACGGGCTCCGGGCAGGGGATGCATTGGGGAGGGTGTAGGAGTCCCCAGTTATTGCACGTGTGCTAGGCCCGCGCACGGAACACAGATCTATGGCTTCTCGGGCCAGCCTGATGCGGCTGAGGGCTCAGAGGTCAAATGGCTGGCCAAGGCCCTGTGTGCTGCTGGTCAGCCAACCCGACGGCTCCCAGTACAGACTGGCTACCTGCAGGAACGACGCCCCTACACAGGCATGCCGGCCCTGAGAGGTGGCTGAGGCCATGCAGGAGGGTGGGCTGAGTTGGAACGAACAGCACTTGCTCTCCGTCCTTCCTGAGCAGCAGGGGGTGGTGGGAGAGGAGGAGGGTGTGGGGCTAACATGAGGGGTGCTGTTGTCCCAGCCCCCACCCCAGGCACACCCTGGAGTGGGACTGAGCGGAGCTGGGAGCCTGCACTCCAGATGGCGGGTGGCCTGACGGAAGGACAAAGGGTAGCCACAGCGCACAAGCGGCCAGTGATGCACACGCTGCCCTTTGTCACCAGACAAGGCTGCCCGGGGCATGGAGTGTGGGAACTGTCGGCTGTGTGGCCCCATCCCGCTTGGGGTGCTCTGTGGGGTCCTGGAGGAGACACCCAGGCCCCTCTCTTCCCGGCCCCCTGCTGAGTACCTGCACCCTCCCCTCTTGAGAACAAGACTCAGGAGCTGGGTCCAGAAGTGGGGTGGTTCTTGTCTCCCCCAACTCCCATTCCTTTGGATAGCAGAGGCCTGGGCCCACGGGCTGGGCAGAGGACAGGCCTGGCCATGCACTGGTGGGCAGGGGAGTGCTGAAGGGGCTGGGGAGACCCTAACAAGTAGGAGGTAACTCGGTGGATGCAGAGTGGGCCCACCACAGAGTCACAGCAAAGACTGCAACTGGCCACGAC